GGAGAAAAACCAAAAAAAAAAAAAAAAAAAAAAACAGAATTAGAATTGGGAAATGGTTACGGTCAGTAAAACACAAAGGAATATATCTTACAACTGATGCTATATAATGCATGGGGGATGTAGCTCAGTGGTACAAATACCTGCCTGGCAAGCTCAAGGTCCTGAGTTCGATTCCTAGTACAAAAAAAAAAAAAAAAATACAATGCGTGGATATTTAAGAATAGTTGTGTTGGGGCCGGGGATAGAGCTCACTGGCGCAAGCACCTGCCTGGCAAGCGTGAGGTCGTGAGTTCTATTCCCAGCACCAAAAAAAAGCAACACACAAAGAATAGTTGTGTTAAGAAAAATTTAGTGAATTGATAAAATTAGATGAACACATCTTGGTCAACAACATGCTGGTGGAAGCAAAAATGATTTTAAAAATAGATCGTACTGTTTGACTTTTTAATTTTAATCACCAGAGAGAGGGAGGAAGTGATGTCCGAGGCGCTGAGGGCGCAGGTCGGGTTCGGTCACCGAGAGAGCGCTCTTCCCGGGTGCGCGCAGGCCCGGCCCTGCGCCTGCGCACCCCAACCGCGCAGGCGGTGCAGCGGGACCCCAGCCCGGAGCTGAGCGCCGCGGGAAGGTGAGCTTGCCCGGGATCCTCGCTGGCGGGGTGACTTCTCCATGCTGGCTGGCCACGGCGGGGAGGTTTTCTCCTTGGGAGAATCGTTGGAGTGGTGGTTGGCTTTGAGGTTCTTGGGGGGTCATATTAGGCTGAGTCAGGACACAGGTGCGTTGCGTGTGCGTGTGTGTGGGATGCACGAATGCGCGGAGACCTCCCTGGGCCAGCTTCACCCCCTCTACGGCCCCCCATCCCCGGGAGGAACGCTAATAGTTATATTTGAAAGCTTATATTTTTGTCTAAACGTATGGTTTTTAATGTTGATTTTTCGATTTAATGACATTGTGGCAGAGAATGTGGTCGGCGTGATATTGATTCCTCGGTGTTTATTAAAGCACGTTTGTGGCTTGGTAAGTGGTCAGATTGTTACAAATGTCCCCAGCGTGCTGGAAAAGAACGTGTACTGACTGCTGGGTGCAGGTCCTACGGAAGGTCAATAGATGATGTGCCCAGTATGGTGATGCACAACTGTCATCCCAGCACTCGGGAGGCTGAGGCAGGAGGATCGCTGTGAGTTTAAGGCCAGCCTGCACTACAGAGCAAGACCTTGTCTCAAAAAAGCAAAACACCAAAAAATCATTTAAGCTGCCATTTTCCTTTTTTCTTCCCTGTCTGTTTGTTTTGAGACAGGGTGACACTATGACCCTGTCATTTAGGCTGGCCTTGAGCACACTATGGAGCCCAGTAAACTCACCGAGATCCTCCTGCTTCAGCCTCTGCAGTGCTGGGACTACAGGCATGCACCACCACACCCAGCTAATTTGGGGTTTTAAAAAAATTATTGAGTTGGGTATGGTGGTAAATGCTTGTAATCCCAGCACTCAGAGGCTGAGGCAGGAGGATCACCGTGAGCTCGAGGCCAACCTGGGCTACATAGCGAGACTGTAACTTGGTGGACAGAGGGTGGAGAAGGCGAGAGACCAGCAGAGACCACCAGACTCGGGTAAAGGCGACATGCGTGGAGTTTCTTGTGCCTGGGCAGAGGCAGGCAGAGGCAGGAAGACCTTCTGTAGGGAACAAAGAGAAGCAGGCCCCCTCTGTAGGGATGGAAAGAAAGTGGGGACAGGGGCTGGGGATTTAGCTCAGCGGCAAAGCGCCTGCCTGGCAAGCGCAAGGTCGTGAGTTCGGTTCCCGGTACTGGAGAAAAACCAAAAAAAAAAAAGAAAAAACAAAGCGGGGACATTCGCCAGGGAGATTTTAATGCACATCTGTGGTCAGAGTTCTCCGGCTGTCCTATGTCTCAGTGGACAGTCCTTGAAGTGTCTGGTGTAAATTTTTGCGTGTCTCCAGATGTCCCCAGCTGTCCCAGCTCCTGCAGAATTCCTTGTCCTGTCCTGTCTCCTTTATGTCACCCAGTGCTTGCCAATGACAGCTTTGGTACTGAGCTGAGCTTCCTGCTGGGAGTAGTGCCTCTGCTGGCATGCAGGCCGGAGGCTGGGAGAGTCACATTACAGAGACCCTGTCTCAAAAGAGAAAGAAAGAAAACGGAAAAAGAATCACTGAGTAATGCTAGGCACAG